AAGAAGAGGAAGAAAGAAAAAGAAAAGGAACCCAGCAGCAGACATAGAGGAAGAAGAGGAAGAAAGAAAAAGAAAAAGAAGAAAGGAAGAAGATGACCGAAAGAGGGGAAGAAGATGGATAAAAAGGGGAGAGGGGTAAATTTGTAATTTTTTATTTTTTTATTAAGACAAAATTGGTTAATGAGTTGGCAATAAGTTAGCACTAACGTGGCTTAAAAAAAAATTCCAAATCAACGTTTTTTAAAATCATTTTTGTCATGTCATAAAAAAAATTATAAAAAATGCCACATAAGCGAGTTAATGGCCTGAATTAACAGAATGACTAACGGAGTGCATTTTGTATAGTTAAGGGATCAAAAAAATGTAAAAAATTGTTAAAAGACTAAAAATGTGCAAATCACTAAAGTTGAGGGACCAAATTTAGCATTTAACCATATTTGATTAACCAAAGTAATACCCATTCACAACTTGTACGTTGTTTGCGCGTTGGAAATTGGCTGGTTGGCACGATTGATGTTTGAGGTTTGAATTTAATTTTAGATAACAAATTTTAAATTATTGAGTTATTAATTTAATTAAATTTTTAATTGTAATTTATTGTCTTACTTATAATTATACATTATTATTAGAAAATAATATATATTTATATTAACTTTTCAAAAAAATTTAGAATCTAATGAAGTTATTTTATTTAATTAAATTTTAATTTAAAATTTAAAATTTTATTTTATTAAATATTAATTGTTACATTTGAAAACTAAAAATTTAATTTAAAATTTAAAAATATACATTATTAAATGTTAATAGTTATATTTAAAAATTAAAATCTAATTTAAAATTCAAGGATTCACATTCACCTAATTGACGGATTTAATTCCTCTTTTAGTCCTCAACTTAAGTGTTTTACACCAATTTTATCCTTCAACTCCAAACTGTACTTTTTTAGTCCCCTTACTCCAAATTTCTGCACCATTTCCCTTCGTCAACTCCCATCCAACACACTCTGCTTGTTAAACTAATGAGGTACTTCAATCTTTCAAAAATTTAATTTTAATGACATAGAAATTACATTTAGGAAAAAAAAGTTTAATTAGACAAAATTTACCCCACCCCACTAGTCACCCAATCACTACTTGCCCATTCAAAGGGCTTCTTTTAATTTGCAGGATTTGTTGTAGAGTGCAAGAAAAGGTGAAAAAACTAAAAACAAAATCCTTAGCATCTTAAACAATTTTTTTTTTTTTTTAAAAGCACTAGATTTTGAAAGAAATTGCTTGAAATTTTAAATTTTAATTGGTATGCTACATGCCTTGTGAACTCCAATCACAAGAAAGTCATTGATCTCAAGGAATGAAGCATGAATATTAGTGAATATGAGGTGTATATTTTAGATTTTGTTTAGGGTTTTGATTTTTGTGATTGTGGTCTTTGAAAGGTAAGACTTCTTCTAGTGAAAATTTTAATGAGATTTTTCACTAAATATAGTGCAAAAAATGTGTACTTTGGTCTCGAGATGCATGAAAGTGGAGGGAAAAAGAACATAAGTCCCCACATATAGTGGGTATTTGCATTTGTCTCATTACCTTTATAACTAATGATTTTTTTATATTAAATATTTAGAGTTTGAATGGTAGTAATTGAATATCTATTTGTCTTTATTATGATGTAGATTAACATATATTTTATATTATTATTATATCATATAAGACGAGAATACGTCAGAAAACATAGGGTTTCTATTGTACATGCATGAAATGCATGTGGGGGGAGGGGGGGGGGTGTGTAGCACCACATTGATGGTGAGTGTTGGAACTAGAAAGTATAATTGGGGAAGTTAACTATGTCTAAGTTGTTCACTAAGACTAGTACAATTTGGGACATGTAATTGCTGTATAGTTGGTATTTTTAGACACAATTTATTTGTTGTATATGATTTCATTAAGAAATTATGTGTGATTATAATAATTGTATAATACTTTTGAACTCAAATAGTGTTTTTAGACAAAATACTACGTTATTTTATGATTATTTTACTATTTTATAATATACAATAATCTATTAGATTATTTTGTATTATTTAATGTTATTAGCTACTATTTTCTAATATTTTTGCTATATCTAGCTAAATACTTATTCTGATTGTATTTCCTTATTGTCGAAAGAAAATGCAATGTCTATGCTAAAAAAGTCGAACATGGACTTGGTATTACCACTATCTAGAAATTATCTACACCTTTCATTGGCAATATCTAACCTCTAGGACTTCTCGTCGGGTTTTCAACTTTGAAATTTAATTTGCATCAAAGCGTTGACACTTATAGTTGTCCAACTAATTTTCTTTTTTCACGTGTAATTATCATGTCATTCAAATTTTGTGATGGTAGTAGCCCGTTAATTTAATGATCGAAGTTGAATGGGAGTTGATAGAGAGATAAGTTTAGTAAACAAATTTGAAGTGAAGGGATTATAAAAATGTATAATAAAGTTGAGGGATAAAATCAATATAAAATACTTAAGTTGAGAGACCAAAAAGAGAATTAAATTTATAAAATATTGACATATAAATTTGGAAACCTATTATATGATAATATATAATTAGTTTTTAAATCTAGATATTAATATATAATTAGGTAAACTTTTAAATTTTAAATTAGATTTTAATTAAATAAAAAAAATAATTTTAAGGTTAAGATTTTAATTTTTTATGAGAGTCATAACTCATATACATTTTTTTTCATATTATAATCATATGTAAGTTTCTTTTAATGGAAAGCCTTTTTTTTTGTAAAAAAAAAAAAAATACTACTCCATTTTTCCAAAATATTTATTGACTTCGAATTTATCTCATATTGATTTATTTTTATTATTATGATAAATAAATATTTTTTCTTTTACCTCTATTATTATTCATTTACTTTGATTAATTATTCTATCACAAAAATCTCATTTTAT